GAGAATATTTGGTGAATTTTCTCAAGGGGAAAGACGTTATTGCCCTTCTTCCTACGGGATTTGGCACATTACATACATTACAAACCAAATAGCAGTAGCATTGGTTAAACAAAAAAGTACCCGCCTACTGTCGAGCAAACTAATTATAATGCTGCAAGGTCAGACGGTTTCCATGAAGTGAAACCGGCTGATGAATCAGGCTAGTAAATAACAACAACAACAACCAACAACAAATGAACCTTCATAAATGCAGAATTTAACCAAAATATATATTACACTAAACACAACAAATCAAAGTTAGTGAAGTCAAATCAAACATTAATGAAAAGTAACTTAAACAAATTAAACCCTACATTCACAACAAGTTCTTGAGGTAGGCTTTGGAGTTTAGTTTGGAGTTAGTTTGGAGTTTAGTTAAAGTGCATAGAGTTCTAAATTGTAAAAGTGCAACAGCTCAAACGGATGAAACCCAACATTCACAATAAGTTAAAGTGCTGTGTTAAAGTGCTGTGCAGACATGGATGATGTACTAAATGTCTTTTAAAGTGCTTGTGCTAAAGTGCTTGAGGTATGACTGGGTGTTAAAGTAAAGTGCATAGAATTCTAGATGGTAAAAGTGCCTATCTGGGCTAAAGTGATCTCTGCTAACCCTGAATCCTAACTTTGCATTGCACGACGAACCCAGCCTATACTGCACTTTACTAATCCCTCTTAAATCACAATAATACTTTACCTTTACTACAACACTCATCCGATAAGAACCAACACTGAATACAACTTGGAACACAATAAACTAGAATAAAAAGCAAAAACTAGTAGCAGCAGCGGATCTTTGTTACATAAGACACCATAGATTAAACGTTGCGAGTGCCATTAAACACCACCAAAACAAGTATAAAACTAAATTTACATACATCACAAAATGTATCATCTACATGAGGCCTGGGACACAATTGGAACAGCCACCACCACCACCTCCATCACTATACCACACCTTTAACCCGGTTATGACATGACGCGTTAGGAAAGGCTCGAGACGTCAGATGAAGAAAAGAGGTAGAGCACTTTACCGGGTCATAAAAAAGGTAAAAATCGCCGTACAGGTGGTCTGCCAGGGTTAAACTGTTAACCTTAACAGAAAATTATCCTCACTGAAAAATGTAAAAGTGGGCAAGGTACAAACCCAAGGCACTCTGACTGAATATATTAAAAGTCCTTTATTGCATGAAGGGACACCAACACGTTTCGACCAGCACTTCTTCGTCAGGGCATAAAGTCCATTTTGTTGGTCGAAACACATATATTTTTCAGTAAGGACACCATCCTCTTAAGAGCATTAGAAAAGGCTTTCGTAACAATAATCACCATCAGAGAATTGTATAACTTCAGCTACTTACACTTGGTACAGTTTCGAATCGATGCCGGGTACGCCACACACCACGTCGCGTTCACTGACACACCGCGGTAGGAAATGACTTGAAATCCTTTGTTTGGAGGGTAACAAAACAAAACTGCGAGTCTACTACTTTTTCTTTTTAAAATGCCTTGACAAAACCTAATGATCCAAAGAACTGAGGTCTAAAAGTGCTCAGAACAGTTATTTCTTCACGTAGTCTGCACTTAAATGGAGCAAAGGATCATGGTCTATGTAGTTCCTTCGGTTTTTTAGCTCATGCTGCCACCATAATGATTCATTTAAGCGAAAAGACTTCGATATGTTTTGATGGACCATGATACTATTGTGAAACCTTTGACGATATAGTAGTAAGTTGCCAATACGATACATACATACATTGTATCGATACACAGGCACGATACGATACATATCGATACACGATACATACATATCGATACATAGGATACCACGATACGATACATATCGATACGATACATACGATACACATACGATACCACAATGATACATATCGATACATATACAATCGATACATAGGATACCATACGATACGATATACATATCTTGATACACGATACAGGCCACGATACGATACATATCTCGATACAGTGCACTTTCGATTCAATACGATACATTTCAAATCAATTCAATATGGTTAAATCAAAAGAAAGTCTAAATCATGGCTGTGGTACTAAAAGTGTTTGTTAAACCACTTCTTGTGCAAAGTTCATATGAAACACAAACATTTTAATCATCAAAACAGTGAAAATGTCAAATGTGTCACATAAACGAGTTTCCTTCCTCTGAACAAACAACAAAACTATAGCGCTATAACAAAACAATTTAGAAAAATATACCAAAAACTACTCTTGGTGATATATCGATACAGCAGCCCATGATATCGATACTGTATCATAATATTAGGTAATACGATATATTGATATTTTTGCACACCTGTAGTCAACAGCTTCAATGCTGATCCGGTGACATTATTTGTTGACAAAAAGCGTATCCAGGAACACTCAAAAGGTAAAAAGTTGACCCTTAAACCTAGGGATGTAACGATATCCAACTCTCTCGATACGATATTATCACGCTATGCATCTCACGGTACGATATTTATTACGATATTTTGAAGACACTAATAGAATTGTAGATAGGACACTGTTTTTGCTTTTAAAATACCTTGACAAGATTTTGTTGTGAATTATTTCCATCATAATCCCAAGAATTCAAGTAAAAACATATTTCTTCATGTCGTCTGCGCTGAAATGAATCATGGGAAATGTAGTTTCCGATGTTCATGAACTGTTTCTACTATAAAACAATGAATTTAAGCAAAGGAACTTGTAATTCGATATATTGTGACATGCCACGATATTATTGTGAGACTTTTGACGATACGATATCACGATATTTTGGTTATTGTTACATCCCGACTAAAAACCATGTCAAGAATGTCAAATAATGCACATTCTATTACCCATGAGGCCCTAGCTCATTCACAGCAGCTCCACAGCAGCTGGTTCTACTATTTCCACACTGTTCTCGTCATCTAGCACGACGCCGGCGGATTTCAAAACGTTACAATGCATAAGAGAACGGGAGAGCTCTGCATACGCCGGCGATGTGTTCCAAATGTAAATACAGTGCGGTTTTGATGAGGACTAATGGTGCGTAGACGAAGAGCAGGGGGAAACTTAAAACCTCAAATCAAGTCGGGTCTCGAATCCAAACACACGCGGTTGTCATTTCCTACGCTCTTAAATCTGCTTTTTCCCCGTGTTTTTGCAGAGTCTGTTTCCGTCGAACAACCAATAAGCTCGTTAAAAGTTCTACGGACAGACAAAATAACGTTAAGAGTCTTCCCTTGTTCGAAACGTCGCCAGGTCTGTTTTGTTTCATGCACATGTTCGAGTAATCCTGCGTCAGAGAAGGTAGAGAAGCCAAAAAGTACACAACTAAGAGTACAGTTCAAAATACTCAAGTAGAAGACCAAAGTAAGAGTAAAAAGTATTTGGCGAAACAAGAACTCATCGCAAAATCTGGTGTTTTCAAAGGATAGAGAGAAAAATGAGACAAACTAAATCATGTTTGAAGGAGCGCTGCAAGAAACACAAACGTTCAAATCATTCCAAAAGTGTAAATCATGAATGGAAAGTGCATATAGTGGTTTAAGAATACAAAAAAAAATGCAATAATGATATAAAAAAAACATATAAACTTAAAGGGCTCATATTACAATATTTTCTGATTTATGTTTTAATGTTGTTTCTCATCATGAACATATGTGGAGTTGTGTTTTGTTTCATTTAAACATTTTTAACACGGAAACCCTGCAGATTTAGGCTGAGTTCTTCTCTCAAATGGAAAACTCTGTACCACCTTGTGATGTCATGGCGTAATACAGGAAGTGCTGCACTATATTTTTAAACTCCACACACCTTCACTACAATCGTTTGGATCATTTCAGATCTGGAACTGACGATCTTTACTGAGCTAAAAGGAGCTCTTAACTTGACAACTACCTCTTCATGACATCACAAGGTGGAACAGAGCATTTTGAGCTTTGGAAATGTAGACAGACTAATAATAATAAGTTACTCAAATGTGTGAATGAAACGAAACACAATTCCAGATGTGTTTTTGGCGCTATCTATCCATTAATCCAATCCAAAAATACACTGGAAAACATCTTACTGTAAGTGGGCTCGCCTCTCCACAGAACTGATCTGAAACCTGCTTCTCTCCATGGTAGTTAATTTTGAGATCATTTTAACGCCATACCGTGGAACGTTTTCAGCAAAGGAGTAACATCTCCACGGAAAAATTTCATAAAAAAAAAAACAAAAAAAACTCAAAACTTAAAAAAAAAAAAAAAAAGAAAAAGAAGAACTAAAAATCTTGAAAAACAAAATGAAAAACCCAAATACTTAAAATACTTAAAAAAAAAAAAATAAAAAATTAAAACAAAAATAAAAGCTTAAATAATAATAATAAAATAAAAAAAAAAAACAAATACTAACTCAAATAAAATAACTCAAAACTTGAAAAAAAATAAAAATAAAAAATAAATAAAATAATAAATTAAATTAATTAATTAATATTAATAATTAATTAAATAATAATAATAAAAAAAACTCTAAACTTTAATAATAATAATAAATTAAAAGCTTAAAAAAAAAAACCTTAAAGACAAAAAAAAAGAAAAACTGAAACACAACAGAAGAAAGAAACATTCAAAAACAGCAGTAAGAATGTTTTAGATTTGGATGTGTGCTTGTTTTCCTTTCTGGCTCTTGTCCCTCATGTCTCTCTTGTCTCTCTTGTCCCTCATGTCTCTCTTGTCTCTCTTGTCCCTCATGTCTCTCTTGTCTCTCTTGTCCCTCATGTCTCTCTGGACTCTCCACGGTCGTAACCTCAGATGCTTCTGTCTGCACCGTTTTACCATTTGGACAAAGGAAAAACTCTGGATTGCGTGTGTTTTTTTCAGTGACAGTACAGTCCCGGTGTCCTCTCGGTGTGTGAAAAGTCAGATAAGTGTGAGGTTGTGGTGTGAAAAAGCCGGAGGTGAGGTGAGTCTTACCTGAGCTGCAGCAGACTGGAGCAGACCGAGGTTCAGTGGACAAACTCTCACATGGTTTTGGCTTAAAAGTGCAGAGAGGAGGAGCGAACGACAGAACACACCACTGCACGCTACACACCACAGACGGAGAGACACAAGGAGAGAGAGAGAGAAGAGGGGAGGGCAGACACACAGAGAGAGAGAGAGAGAGAGAAAGAAAAGAGACAGAGCAGACACATAGAGAGAGAGAGAGGAGACAGAGGGAGAGAGAGAGGGAGAAGGAAAGAGGGAGAGAGAAGGGGGGCAGACAGACAGAGAGAGAGAAAAGGAAAGAGAGAGCAGACAGAGAGAAGAGACAGATAGAGAGGGGGAGAGGGAGAGGAGACAGAGAGAGAGAAAAGGAACGAGAGAGAGCAGACAGAGAGAGCGGAGACAGAGGGAGAGAGAGAAAGAAAGAGAGGAGAGAGAGAGAAGGGAGGCAGACAGACAGAGAGAGAGGAGGGAGAAGGCAAGAGGGAGAGAGAAGGGAGAGACAGAGAGAGAGAGAAAGGAAAGAGAGAGAGCAGACACAGAGAGAGAGAGAGAGGGAGAGAGGGAGAAGGAAAGAGGGAGAGAGAAGGGGGGAGACAGACAGAGAGAGAGAAAAGGAAAGAGAGAGCAGACACAGAGAGAGAGAGAGACAGATAGAGAGGGGAGAGAGGGAGAGGAGAGAGAGAGAGAGAGAGAGAGAGAGAAAAGGACGAGAGAGAGGACAGAGAGAGAGGAGACAGAGGGAGAGAGAGAAGGAAAAAGGGAGAGAGAGAAGGGGGCAGACAGAGAGAGAGAGAGAAGGAAAGACAGAAGACAGAGAGAGAGGTAAAAGGAAAGAGAGAGGAGACAGAGAGGGAGAGAGAGAAGGAAAGAGGGAGAGAGAAGGGGGGCAGACAGACAGAGAGAGAGAGAGAGAGAAGGGAAAAGAAAGAGAGCAGAGAGAGGACACAGAGCAAGAGAGAGAAGGAAAGAGGGAGAGAGGGGGGCAGAGAGAGAGAGACAACAGAAAGAGAGACAACAGAAAGAGAGAGGACACAGAGAGGCGGAGAGAAGGAAAGAGAGAGGGGGAGCAGACAGAGAGAGGAAAAAGAGAGGGAGAGAAAATACAGAGTAAAAAGAGGGAGAGAGAGCAAGAGAGAGAGAGAGGGACAGAGAGGGAGAGAAAAGAGTAAAAAACAAACATCCATTTTCACTTTTTAGGATGTAACAAGTAAAAGGCATTTATTTCCTTTAAAGTGATTATTAAAGTAAAGTAATGATAAAAAAAAATAAAAAACTCCATCAAGTCAGGAAAACTGTCCAGGGCCCCAAGAGACGGATTTATTTATTTAAAAAAACATAACAAATTAATTACAATTTGAAACAGTTTGCAGTGCAGGATTTGCTGTGAAGGTAACAACAACAACTAGCATGCTAATGTGTACTTACCAATTACCAAACAATTAAAGGTGCAATCGCGTGACTTTTCTCATGGAGGGTCTGTGCCACCTGCTTGTCGCCATGGAGATGTTATGGTTTTCCTGGAAATGTTGGAGAGTATGTCATTGCCGTGCATGTAGCGCACAGTTTTTCCTCCGCTACAAAACCTTTACAAAATGCACATTTTAGTGGTCGCAAGAAACTGAGAAAGTAAAAGAGCCACGGCGAGTCTTTGACGATGAACAGAAAGATGTCCTGAAAACAGAAAAAACTGTTTCCATTTATTAGTGCACAAGTCATGAATCAAAATGATACATGTACAATGGGAAATAATCAAATTCTATTTATTAAGCACAAAATGTATAATTTAGAACTCCCCAATCTGCACAGTAAAACCTGAAGTGTTAAAATTGACTCTCACAGAATCAGTTTTAAGATTTTCTCAGGATTTATATGAGTCCAATCTGTTCTAGAGTTAATTTAACATTTTTGGAAATGTTAATGAAGTAACACTGGACCAAAGTTCCTGTTTAACTCCAAAATGAAGAGTTCTATTGAAGAGAGTGAGAGTAAACACATAACACTTTGTAGAATTATCCTGATTTAACTAAACAACACACAGAGGTGTTTTATTTTTACACTTTATTTGAGTTAATTTAAGATTTAAATTATTTACAAAACTGGTTCAAACTGGTCATCTCTCATGGGAGTTTGAAGTGGTGGGTGGGAGGAGCCAAATTAACACTAATGGAAGTTGAATTAACGCAAAAGGAAGTTAAACACAAATGCCCCGAAAAAGAAAATCATATTTTTGCAGATTACAAGCTGCAAGTCGTGAAATCTGCAGCTGAAAACAGTAATTGAGCAGCAGAAAGAAAGTTTGGAGTGAGAGAGAAACTTGTGACACCGGGAGGATGCACCATGAAACTTTCCTGAAGTCACTGGATGATGGACAAAGCCTGGACTTCAGTGACACTGAAACCATCCTGTCGGGATTCAGAAAGACCCGAATAATTCTAACTGGAACTGATGCTGAGTCTGACGACAGCGACACAGAAGAGGAAGCAGCACCTCCTGTTTACCTCCGGAGGTCGTGGAGCTGGTCAGAAGTGACACGAAGATGAAGAATTGAATGGATTTAGTGATTTGGAGTGAGATGGAGAGTTTGGTTAAACTTGTTCTGTTCTGTTGTTTATGTTATAGTTTATCTGAAGAACTGTTCATATGTGACGTTAACAGTCTGTTGTTCTCTCTTCTACTGTTATTACTACTATTACTCAGAGTCTTGCACTGGGTCGCTGAAACAGACGGGTATTAACAGCTGAATTTTACGGGCGGGTATGCGGGTGGGTAGCAGTTACACACAGGTGGGTCAGGACTTAATCAGGACTAAACCAGGACTACATCAGGACTAATCTTGGACTTAAGAGAGAACCCCAAGCCCACGGAGTCTGCAAAGCATGATCGGGTGATGGCTGGGCTTACCTCCGTGGGGTGCAGAGCTCTGTGCCAGTCCTTTCACCTACGGTCACCCAACGGTCTACATGGGCGCTCCTTTGAGCGCATCTGTCAGTGAGTCCTGGTTCAGTTCTGGTTTGTCTTCCTAGTTCAGTTCTGGGTCAGTCCTGGTTCAGTTTGTGGTGTGTGCAGCACAAAAGTGCGGCATCTTGATGTGTTTCTTCTGCTCAGTAAATATTACCTGTGAAGTGACAGTTGAGTGTCTGTGAATTCATATTCGTACTGGAGAAAGTGTCATCTTTTCATTTCATTTCGTGATTATAATTCTTAAAGTTGTAATTTTTCAATTCGTATTCTGATGGATGTTTCAGTTAGAATGTTTTTAATCTGTGTGTGATTCATCACAAGCATGTAACAGGTTAAATGTTAACAGGTCCTGGTGGGTGTGGGTTTAACTTTAGTATAATCACGGGTTAACCAGCAGGTGTTGTACTGCGTGGGTGCAGGCGGGTGCAGATCTCCAAAAACAGACCCGTGCAGGACTCTGCTTAGAACTTTCAACATGAACTGTTGGTTCCTGGTCTCTGAGTTTATAAAATAAATTTCCCCCCAAAAAGTGCAACTTTTTTTCTTCCTCATTACACATTTTTTGTCAGGTGCTTATACTCCGGAGTGACGTATAGTCCGAAAAGTCAGGTAATAACATCACCATGGAGACACGTTTGCTTTTTACTCAAGTACATGGAAAAGTGTGGTGCTGGGCCTTTCACACACGATACTCGAGTTCACAAAATGACTATATGTTCACGGCGTACGGAGGAGAGAGAGTATTTATCACGAAGAGGAAGATTTTCATTTGACTTGGACACGCGCCGCATATTTCCCATCAGGCTTTGCACAGGAATGCGCCGCTGCCGACCAAACACAGCAGAGTCAGGAGCGTCAAATCTCCTCCAGTCCACAGATCGTCCAGGAAACGGCACCGGGACTCAAACTGAAGCTGAAGCTCGCCGCAAAAACACGAGTCTGCAAGAAACGAAGAGATAGAGAGGATAGAGAGAAGAAGAGAAGAGAAGGAGTGAGAGGGCAAAGAGAGAGATTGAAGGAAGTTGATAAAGAGAGAGGGATTAAAAAGGAAAGGGAGACAGGCAGAGAGAAAGAGAAAGAGAGAAGGAGGGACAGACAGACAGACAGAGAGAGAAGGAAAGAGAGAGAGAGAGGGGGAGAAAAGGAAAGAGAGGTGAGATAGACAGAGAGAGAGGGAAGAGAAAAGAAAAAAGAGAGAGAATATAGATATAGAGAGAGTAAAGGTAAGAGAGAGAGAAAGGGGAGACAGAGAGAAAGAGGGAGAGAAAAGGAAAGAGAGATGAAACAGACGGAGAGAAAGGGAAGAGAAAAAGAGAGGGAATAAAGAGAGAAAAGAGATGAGACAGAGAGAGGGAAGTGAAAAGGTAAGAGGGAGAAAGGGAAACAGATAGAGAGAGAGGGAGAGAAAAAAATAGAGAGATGAGACAGAGAGAAAGAGGGAGAGAAAAGGAAAGAGAGAGGAGACAGAGAGAGGGAGAGAAAAAGAAAGAGAGATGAAACAGATGGAGAGAAAGGGAAGAGAAAAAGAGCGAGAATAAAGAGAGAAAAGGTAAGAGAGATGAGAGAGAGAGAAGGAAGTGAAAATGTAAGAGGGAGATAGGGAAACAGATAGAGAGAGGGAGGGAGGTAAAGAGAAATGAGACAGACAGATAAAGAGAGAGGGGGAGAGAAAAGAAAAAGAGAGAGGAGACACAGACAGAGAGAAAATGAGGGAGAGGGAGAAAGGTGGGACAGATAGAGCGAGGAAGAGAAGAGGGAAGAGAGATGAAACAGACAGAGGAAGAGAAAAGAAAAAAAGAGAGAGAAGACGGAGACAGAAAGAGAAAAGGAGAGAGAGATGAGATGGACAGAGAAAGAGGGAGAGAAAAGAGAACGGAGACAAAGAAAATGAAATGAAGGGAGAAAGACAGGGAGAGAAAAGGAAAGGGAGAATGAAAGGGGAGACAGATAGAGAGAGGCAAGGAAAAGCAAAGAGAGAGATGAGATAGACAGAGAGAGAGAAAAGGAGAGAGAGGACGAAAGAAGAGACAGATAGAAAGGGAGGGAGAGAAAAGGAAAGAGAGATGAG